GCACGGGACGTGTGGGAGCGGATCAACATAGGGTGAGAGCGCTGAACATGAGAAAACACGACAAGCACGAGAGGCAAGGTGAGACCACCAGCGGGAGGGGGGGGTCGGGTCAGGAAACAAGGGAGGAGACAGAGGAGGGGAACGAGGGGGGAAACGAGCCGAGGATGAGTCCGACGGAGGAAACACAGGGCCGTAGACAGGCGGAGGAGGCGGCGGCGGGGGAGGCGCAGGTGGGCGGTCAGGGAAGGGAAGACCGGGAGGCAAAGGGCGGACAGCGGCGGCGACTGCTGCTTGCTGCTCCACGTCGACGCCAGAACCTCTAGCCCACCACGGCTACCTCCGGGACGCTCCACGACAGCACCCCCAAAAGGAGAAACCCTCTCCAACACCGGTGCCACCCTAGACCGCGGGACAAGCCACGACAGTACCCCCAACAGTAGCACCTCCAGAACCAGCACCCCCTGAACGAGAACCTCTCGTCACCAGTGCCACCCCCAGGACCACCGGGACAAGCCACGACAGTACCCGCAGGACTAGCACCTCTTCAACGCCCGCACCCCCAAAGCTCGCGGACCCTTGCGGCGGCTGCAGTTGCGGCGGTGGTGGCTGCATCTGCTGGTGCGGCTGCGATGGCGGCGACGACGGCTGCTGCTGCACAGGCGACGGTGGCGGATGCTGCGGCTACAGAGGAGGAGACACCGGGGCGGACACAGGCGGCGAAACCAAAGCCGCAAGGACCACAGAGTCAGCCAACTCCTCCACCGGGACAACCGACGGGAGGGGAGTGACGTGAGACACACCAAATGCGGCAGGTTGGGGAGAGAGAGGAGCAGGGGCTACCGAGGGAGTGGGAATCAGAAACAGAGGCGGGTAACTGGAGAACTCGGTGGTGAAAGCAGGTGTAGAAGGGGATAGACTCGTCAACAGTGACGTCACGAGAGTGAAAAAAATGGTGAGACAGCGGGTGGTAAAATTGCCAGTAGGGCGCGTCCAGGGGGAAGCCAACGAAGAAAAAGGGACAGTGCGAGCAATGAGCTTGTTCGTGCTGGAGGCACGAACGTGAGCGAGGTAGCCTTAGACGTGGAACGCAGACGCGTCACCATGAGACCCGGTCCAGAAGAGGGTCGGCGAAACCTGCGGCCGCTGGGAGGGTGGCCACATGTTAAAATGGTGAGCGGCGTAGCGAACACCGAACGGCCACAGAAAATGGGGTGCAAAGGCATGGATCTTGGAGGTACGAGCCACCTCCATGATCAAACCGATGCATCGCTCAGCGATCTCATTCTGCTGCGGGGAGTCCGGCAGGGTGTACGACTGGGTGATGCCATCCGCATGACAGAATTGGGCCAAGCCAACCAAGAGCGAACTCGCCGCCACGGTCGGAGTGAAGCCGCAGCACAGGGAGGCCACGGTGGACTCGCGTAGCTACAAACTAGGAGATAAGAGCGTCAAGCACGTCGGCCTTCCAATCGAGGAGAAACACCATGGGGTAGCGCGTGTAGTCGACGACAAGCACTAGAAAGTAGCGATCTCGACACGGCCCAGGGACGGGGGGCTGGGCCCCAAACGTCCAGGTGCACGGTCTGGAGTGGCGCAGTGGTAGGGGGAAGCGAGGAGGAGTGAGAAGCATGGTGCAGCCAGTCCTCAACGTAGGGTGTGCACGGCGGCGAAGGCAAGGGAGGGAGAGCAGGGAGCGACGAAGGGAGACCTAAGATAAGACCGTGCTAGGACATGTGACACCGACGCGGGAGTGCGGTGTGACCTAGGTGGTGGTGCCACAGAAGCGACAGGTGAATTAGCGACGACACGAGCAAGCCGCAGCGACCTAGGAGGGCGTGGCAACCTAGGGAGACACCCCCACCGGGGGGGAACGCAGTGTCAACTGTAAACAGGCCAGACACCGGGTCCTGGGGGAACGTGGTGAGTGGGGCACCATTGGCGGCCTCGGTACAGACCGCATACCGCTCGTGTCTGGGGAACGTAGTGATGACGCCGAGGTCCTGAAGATAGCCGACACCAACTAGGTTCCTGGAGAACGAGGGGATGTGCAGGCTTGTAAGAGAACCTGAGGGAATCATCGGAAAGGCAAGGGTGGTGGAGCTACGTGCAACTACCGGACCGGAGAAAGGGTCAGCAAGCGCGACAGCTGCAGGGGCGACAAGCGACGTCAGCGCAGTGTGGTCACGAAAGAAGTAGGCGGACACAACAGAGTCTAGCGTAAAAGAGAGCGCGGCGGTAGCATCAGCCGGCGGAAGGGCTAGCATGGAGCCTAGGCTAAGCAAATCAGGAGGTCCTATGCCTAACGCAGCAGGGGAGCTTAGACTATACACAGGGGGCACACCTATACTTGGCAACACTGGGTAATAAGGTCCAGTCACACTAGAGTTATCAGCGTACATGGCATATGTAGCAGAGCGAATCTGATCCATATCCATCTCAAAGACCAGCACACGGCAACGTATCAGGCTGTGCCAGTCGGAGGGGTCTGACGCAAGGCCGAACCGGAGACGGAAGATGTTGTCAAGGTGGCGGAGTGACCGAGACGGTTCCAGACGGTTGCGCGGCGGGGGCCGGACTGAAGCTGGTGCTGGCAGGTCACCCTACTGGAGTTGCCACCCGACAACGAGCTGTGTTGCTCACTACCACGACCAGCACCACCAGAGCCTCCAGGCCACCACGGCGGCGGGGTTCCCCACGGCTGCTGCTGCTGCTGCTGCTGCTGCTGCTGCGACTGCTTTTGCTGTTGCTCTTGCTGCTGCGCCGGGGCACCAACTTCGGTCCCCTCGTGTGCGCCACCATCCCCTCCACCCCTCCCGCCGCCACGCCCCCCCGAGCCCGGCGACCCCTACCTTGACGAGACTGTGCTGAAGCCGCCGCAGCGGTCTCAGCAGCAGAGGCCGTCTCAGCAACAACGGCAGAAATGGCAGAGTAAGTGCACTGGGAGGGAGCACAACCCTGGAAGATAGGGACCGCCGCAATACTGCTCGACTGAGCGATAGTGAGCTGGCGGGTCTCTATCATAGATAGGATAGTGACAAAGTTAGCAAGGGTGAGGTCAACGGGGTGGAGGCCAATGAAGTGGTCATGAGCAGTGGCTAGGTGGTCAAGAAGGCGCATGGCAAGGAAGTAGAGGGTAGCAAAGAGGGGGGGAGGCAGTACAAAGAGCCGAGCCTCAGTACTAGCAGCGCGGTTGCTAGCCTCTAGTGCGCACAGGTGAGTGGTGAGATCAGCGACAATGGGAAAGGACACAAGGTCAGGGAAGAGCAGGGGGAGAAGAAGACGACCGACAGAGACGGAGGAGGGAGTGGAGTAGCGCGCAATGACGGCATCTAAGTACTCCTTCATAGTCTTTAAGGTCTGGGAGCGAGCGCTCAGACAATGGGAGGGTGCAAATGATAGCAAGCTGCGCAGCTGCGTCACGCGACTCCCAGACAGAGCGGGCGAGCTCAACAGCTGCAAAGGCCTCACGCTCAGTGGGCGTGGTGGGTTCTGAGAGGGCAGCAGGCGGCTCGGGGCAGGGGATGTTACCGTTGACGTGGACGGCCAGAGATTGGCCATCCTAGTGTTGCCCCCTCAGCGAGCGGCGGAGGTCGGGGAGCCAAACCTCAAAGTTGATCACCCGACCCTTCGTGTACAGGCGGAGCACAGCGCCTGCCATCGCCACGGTTGCAGCAGCTGACGTCGGCAAAGTGGCACAGCAGCACGGCGACACAGCGGTACCGCGGCGCGGAAGCACGGCGGCACGGCATAACGGCAGCAAGCAGAGACCGTGGGGAGCTAGGGCCGGCAGGAATAGGGGCCGGCACTAACTGGGGCCGGCTTGAATGGGGGCCGGCGCGAATAGGGGCTGGCACGAACTGGGGCCAGCTAGCTAGGGGGTGGCGAGCGAGCGTGGGCCGGCGAGCGTGGGCTGACAAGCGAGTGTCGGCGAGCTGGGGTCGGCAGGCTAGGGCCAGCGAGCGCGCTAGGGGCGGCGAGCGAGCTAGGGTTGGTGAGCGAGCTAGGGGCCAGCAGGCTAGGGCTCGCGCGGCGCGCGAAGGGCCAGCGGCGAGCGAGGGGCCAGCGGGCGAGGGCTCACGCGGCGCGCGAAGGGCTAGCGACGAGCTAGGGGCCAGCGGGCAAGAGCTGGCGCGGCGCGCGAAGGGCCAGCGGCAAGCTAGGGGCCAGCGGGCAGGAGCTCGCGTGGCGCGCGAAGAGCCAGTGGCAAGCTAGGGGCCAGCGGGTGAGCTAGGGGCCAGCGGCGAGCTGCGGGCCAGCGGCGAGCTAGGGACTAGGGCGGGCGCTAGGAACTACGGGCCAGTGCGGACTAGCGAGGCTGGCGCGGAGGGACGGTGCCGGCGTGGACTAGGGCTCGGGCGCGGGGGCGGCTTAGGCGTGGCTAGGGCTAGGGCGCGGGCGCGGCTCGTGCGCGGCGCGGCTAGGGCTAGGTCTCGGCTAGGACACGGGCTAGGGCTAGAGCTAGGGCTAGGGGCGGAAGCGTAAGTGGGGAGGGGGACCTAACCTAGTGTGATACCATCTCATAATAACGCAATGACTAGAATAAGACATACAGGCAGGTTTTGTGCTATGGTGCTGTGCTCTCTATAAGCATGAACCTATCTAGCCTATAACAATATATAAATATGTTGACATGAGGTACCATGGGGAATCCCAAAGGAGGTGATAAAGGGGAAGAGGGAGGCGAAATTATTATTGTTTGAGGGATATCACTATGATGAGTGGTTAATTTCCTATCTGTTTGATGTTCCATCCTAAGTGGATCCATCTAGAAACCCATGGCTTATGTCTCTTTGAGTTGTCCTTGGGAAAATTAGCTGCTAATAGTCTAACATTCCCAAGGACAACTCAAAGAATGTTAGCCTATAAACAACTGGGGCTGTGACCCTATAAAGAATCCATATTCCCTGCTCTAAACGGAGCGCGAACAGATGCCCAGGACGGCAATTTCAAGGCCCCGCATGCCCATACAGAGCAGATTCCAACCAGGCAAGCAGGCTGTCTGCCTGTCAGCCTCTCACGTCGAACACAACTCAATCTTGCAGGTCACAACATCGCGGCCTGCGCGGACCGACGACGTCAACCAATCACGGCCTTCTCTGCCTGCAGGCATGCCTCCTCTTTGCGCCGCGTAGCGTTTGAGCACTGTACGACTGAAGAAGAGGAGTCGTTCGTCCGTTCGCGCAATCGGCCATGAGCCTGAAAGCCCGATCGTCGCCGCGCGTAGGGTCGCTTGCCTCCTCGTCGACCTCCTCGCTCTCGCCGAGACCCGCGACTATTAAAGACGTCGCGATTCGCGGTGTCTCGTCCTCTCGATATTATCTCAGGGCTGACGTCATGTGGTCCTGGTGGAAGGACGTTCGGCTGCGCACCCTCGTTTTAGTCAACATCGCGGCCATTGTAGAGAGGGCTGACGAGGCGCTTCTTCCTGCTGTGTATAACGAGGTGTGCTTGTAAATGCCGTACGGCTAGAGCACAGTTTCCGTTGTAGCGAAAAGTTTCGCAAGTCTCGTGTTACCACTCTTCTCCTCTCGCAATCTCTGTTCCCCATGACCCTCTAGGCTCGCGTGTCTCCCTTGTCTCCCCCTCCGCACTCCTCCCTACCCCCATCCCGCGCACACTCCTTTTCCCCCCAACCCCGCCTCCGCGCGGCTATCTGGGACAAGCGTTCCCCGCGTCCGCTAGAGCGAATTTCCCTTCCGCCAGTCCGCGCTCCTTCTCCGCAACATCCTCTTCCCCTTCCCATCTTGTTCCCCCCTCCCCCTTCCGCCTCCTCTGATCAGTTGGGGCAAGCCTTCCTCGCGTTCTCCCTCACCCCCGCCCCCTACGCGTCCTACCAAGCCATTTCCGCTTCCCCCTGTCCGCTCTCCTTCTCCGCAACTCTCTCCCCCTTCTCATTCCCCCGCACCCCCCTGTCCCCCCTTTCCGCCTCCCCCGGTCAGGTGGGGCAAGCCTTCCACGCGTCCCCCCAAGCCCTGGGCACTCTAACTCTTGTGCGCGCGCTCGTGCAGGTGACCATGGGGGGGGGGCGGGGTGATGGGAGGGGGTGAAGGGGGTAAGATGGGGGAAGGGGAGGGGGGGGTAGGGTACCTTTGAGTTGACCCAGAGGCGGCCCCAAGCCCTGGGCACTCTCACTCTTGTGCGCGCGCTCGTGCAGGTGACGATGGAGGGGGGGGGGTTGAAGGGTGGGGGATGGGGGTAGATGGGGTGAATTCGGGGGAGGGGAGGGGGAGGGTCTAGCTGACCCCAAGCCCTGGGCACTCTCACTCTCTTGCGCACGCTCGTGCAGGTGACGTCATGGGAGAGGGGGGAGGTGGGGGAGGGGGGGAGGAGGGGGAGATGGCTGGCCCACTGGACGCCTCTAGTGCGCATTTTTGTTTTGAATCGCCTTGACTGTAACACACACATTCTCTTCTGTCTCTACCTCTCGTCTACTGACCACCGCCAGGCGTTTGACGGCCCTCTCGCCCCTTGGCTGGCTCACTGGATGCCGCTAGTGCAAGTTGTTGCTTTGAACCAAACTGCCTCAAACAAGCATCCTCTTCCAATCCCCATCCTCTTCCTATCCCCATCCTCTTCCGATCCCCCTCCTCTTCCGATCTCCATCCTCTTCCAATCCCCATCCATCACCTCCAGGCGTTCACGTGTCCCCTCGCCCCCTGGCTGGCCCAATGGATGCCGCAAGTGTTGTGAACCTCCTTCAAACACACCCTCTCCCCTCCCCCGATTTTTGAGGCGCCTAAAAAATCCTCCCCCCCCCCCAACCCCCCCAACCGCCCCCAGGCGTTCACGTGCCCTCTCGCCCCCTGGCTGGCGCACTGGATGCCGCGGGTGCGGGTCATTGCAGTGGGTGCATTCACATGGGCGATCGCCACTCTGGGCGTCGGCGTGGCCACCAACTACTATGAGGTGCGCAGTGAGGGGTTGCTCTGAGGTGAAGGGATCTGGTGACTTTTGCCTTTCCTTCTATCACTTTGAGTCGGCTCAAAATCATTGGCGTGGCCAGCAACTACTATGAATGAGGGGCTGCTCTGAGGTGAAGGGGTCCGGTGACTTCTGCCTACCACTGCTACCCGAGGGCGAGTCATTGCAATGCGGCCTTTGAGTCGAATCAAAAGTCACCTGTCCAGCAACTACTATGAGGTAAGCAGTGAGGGGCTGCTCTGAGGTGAAGGGGTGAGGTGACTTTCGCCTACCACTGCTCCCCGAGTGCGAGTCATGGCAGGGGCGCTTTCACATGGGCAATTGCTACTCTCGGTGCTGGCGTGGCTACCAATTACTATGAGACACGCATCCAGTAGCTGCTATGAGATGAGCAGTCAGCAGCTATGAGATGAGCAGTCAGCGGCTATGAGATGAGCAGTCAGCGGCTATGAGATGAGCAGTCAGCGGCTATGAGATGAGCAGTCAGCGGCTATGAGATGAGCAGTCAGCGGCTATGAGATGAGCAGTCAGCGGCTATGAGATGAGCAGTCAGCGGCTATGAGATGAGCAGTTAGTGGCTATGAGATGAGCAGTCAGCGGCTATGAGATGAGCAGTCAGCGGCTATGAGATGAGCAGTCAGCAGCTGCTGTGAGGTAAGTGCGTCAGGTGACTTTTGCGCACCACTGCCACTCGAGTGCGAGTCATTGCAGTGGGCGCGGTCACATGGGATGCCATGGCCACGCCACGGTGGGTGTTGGCATGGCCAGGCCACCAACCACTATGAGGTAAACTGTCAGTAGCTAGCTACTACGGTGAGTCAAGCCGTTATTCTGTACAGAGCAGTAAACAGTTTGCGCGTACTTTTGAGGCGCCTCAAAAGTCTGTACTGAGCAGTAAACAGTTTGGGCATAATCGGGGCCCAAACGGAGCCTTATCTGATAGGCCCTCCTTCACTCACTCCTTCCAGTTCCCTGCCTATCCAACCTATCAGGTGGCAGTGTGGAGAGGCCTCAACTCAACGGAGTGGGTCTAGCTTTGGTCAGCCCATCCATCCAGTCCTGTTTTGAGGCGCCTCAAAACGAGTGGGTCTAGCCGTAGTCAGCCCATCCATCCAGTCCGTCGTCGTCAACTCAGCCACTTCCCCCCCCCTCCCTCCTCGCACGTCCCAGCCCATCCTTCATCCTTCATCCTTCATCCTTCATCCGTCCATCCAAGCAGGTTGCAGCTCTAGTCATCCCAGTCTCTCGTCGTCAACTCGGCCACCCCCGCCCCCTCCCTCCTCCCACGTCCTCCCATCCTTCATCCTTCATCCTTCATCCGTCCATCCGAGCAGGTGGCAGCGTGGAGAGGTCTGAACGGGGTGGGGCTAGCTCTCGTCATCCCGGCCATTCAGTCCCTCGTGGCCGACTCAGCCACGGCCAGCACGCGCGGCATGGCGTTTGGCTGGCTGCAGTTCGTCACCAACTTTGGCAACATCCTTGGCTTCACCCTCGGCATCTCCCTCGCGTGCTACACCTTCTTTGGCCTCGCTGGCTGGCGCATGGCCTTCATTCTCGTTACAGCCATCAGCCTGGGGCTCGCTGCCATGCTCTGGCTGTTCGCCCATGACCCCGTACCAACAACAGTCAAGTAAGCCCAGTTCAGCGTATCTCCTCCTCCCCCTCTCAAGTGAGTTTAGTGCTGTGCTATCAGCGTCTGCTCCCCTCCCACCTCGTCCTCCTCCCCTCTCAAGTGAGTCTAGAGCTGTGCTATCAGCATCTGCTCCCCTCCCACCTCGTCCTCCTCCCCCTCTCCCCCTTCTCTTTGTCCATCCCCACCTCTCTCCATGAGGTCAATAGACGCCTTGACTGACGCCTTGACTGACGCCTTGACTGACGCCTTGACTGACGCCTTGACTGACGCCTTGACTGACGCCTTGACTGACGCCTTGACTGACGCCTTGACTGACGCCTTGACTGACGCCTTGACTGATGCCTTGACTGCTCTGGCAGACGACACCGGAGCGCAAGAGCACAGTGCTGCAGGGCCATTGCTATCAGCACCCCCACCCCTCCCCACCACCCCCTCCTCCCACTCTCCCCTTCTCCACCTTCTTTCCCATCTGCCTCCACCAGGCCAGTAGAAGCCTTGACTGATCGGGCTGACGACCCCCGGGGCGCAAGAAGAGCATCCTGCACAGCCACTGCTATCAGCACCCCCACCCCTCCCCTCCTTCCCCCACCCCTCCCCCTCCTCCCCCTCTCGCTCTTCACATCCTCTCTCCAACCTCCCTCCACCAGGTCGGTAGAAGCCTTGACTGATCTGGCTGACGACGCCGGGGCGCAAGAGGAGCATTCTGCAGCGCCGCTGCTGTCAGCAGAGAAGGGGTCCTTCCAGGAAGATCACATCCTAAACCCCGAAAAACAGCAACCCCGACACCAGCAGCACCAGCAGCAGCAGTCTCAAGACGATGAGTCAGCTCCACTCCAATCCACCGCCTCCCATCGCCGCCTTTCTGCCACCTCCCCATCCCCCCCCTCTTCTCACTCCTCCCTCCTCTCCTCCTCTCCCCACTCCCCTCCCCACCCCTCTCCCCCCCCTCTCCCCGCCCCCCTCCCCTCCCTCCGCTCCTCCTCCTTCCTCTCAGATATTCTCAAAGTCCTCCGCATCCGCACCTTTCAGCTGATCATTGCCCAGGGGGTCATCGGTTCCTTCCCCTGGGCGGCCGGGGCGTTCTTCCCCATGTGGCTGGAGCTCTTGGGCTTTTCCCACGCGTCCACCGCGTTTCTGCTGTCGGTTTTCACTGTGGCGTGCAGCCTCGGGGGACTGTTTGGCGGGTGGTTTGGGGATGTGATGGCGAGGCGGTGGCCGGATGGGGGGAGGCTGGTGTGTGCGCAGATCAGTGCTGGGTGGGCGGTGGTGCTGTCCACGCTGCTGCTGAGAGTGGTGCCGCAGTCGCCGGACTACTTTGGGCTGTATCTGGTGGTGTTGACCCTCATGGGGCTGCTTATATCGTGGAATGCTGCTGGCACAAACAAGTGAGTGCACTTTAGAGGCCGGATGGGGGTGGTTGGTGTGCACAGGTCAGTGCGGCGTCGGCAGTGGTGCTGCTGTCGACGAGATGACTTTTGCGTCGGCTCAAGAGGCTGGTGTGTGCAGACCACTGCTGGGTCGGTAGCTGTGATGTCGACACTGCAGCTGTGAGTGGTGCGACTCAAAAGCAGATGAGTGCTTCGGTGGTGATTGCTTTTGAGCCTTTGAGTCGACTCAAAAGCAGATCAGTGCATGCGGGGTCGGCAACGATTCTGTGGAGCATCTGCGCATGGAAGTGTACCCATCTTGCTGGGCGTGTACCCATCTTGCCGGACGTGTACCCATCTTGCTGGGCGTGTACCCATCTTGCCGGACGTGTACCCATCTTGCTGGGCGTGTACCCATCTTTCCGGACGTGTACCCATCTTGCCGGACGTGTACCCATCTTGCCGGACGTGTATCCATCGTGCCGGACGTGTACCCATCTTGCCGGACGTGTGCGTCCCCTCAACAATTTCGCCCCATCTCCCCAACCCGTGCCGCACTCCCCCAATGTTCACATATTGCTACCCTCCCCCCCCCCTCCCCCCCCCTCCAGCCCCATATTTGCGGAAATAGTCCCGGAGCGACTCCGCACGGACATCTACGCCCTAGATCGAACCTTCGAGATGTCCATCGCAGCCTTCGCACCGCCCACTGTGGGCTACCTCGCCCAAGCCTGGTTCGGCTACATCCCCCCTTCACCCCTGGCTGCCGATACCACCGCTACAGGCAGCGAGGGTGGAATAAGTAGTAGCAGCAGCAGCTCGTGCAGCCGCAGCAGCAGCAGGAGCCATGCGGAGATGGCAGCAGATGCTAGGAATGCAGAGGCGCTGTCGCTCGGCCTGTTTTGGACCATGGCGCTTCCCTTCGCCATCTGCTGCGTTTGTTACGGGTGGCTGTACTGGACGTATCCTAAGGATCGGGATAACGTTCGGGCTGAGTCTGCTGCTGAGGCTCGGGAAGAGGAGACGAGGTTGGGTGGAGGCGGTGAGGAGGGAGGAGAGGGGAGGTGCTGACCTGAGAAGCTTGTGTATATGATTCATGTTTTTTCTAGCATGTACCGTCGGCAGGGCTCCCGTTATCAGACCAAATCAGTCTGATGGTCTGAAAATCAGACTGGGTTTTTATGTTTCATCTGATTTTTTGACAAGCCAAATATATTCGTCTGATTGTTCAGACAAGATATAAGAATTCGTCTGAAACATCAGACTAGGTGTACACATTCATCTGATTTATCAGACCGGCCGTTTTTTTCCGTCTGATACCGACAAATCCGCCCTTCTAGCAGCAGGGCCACTAGTCCACATGCCCAATGGGCCACTGCCTACCACCCAGTCCCATGTGCACCGCAGCATGCGCATTCAATTCTACCCCGAGCGCGGCAGCAAAACAGTCCAGCGCACATAAATTTACAGCTTGCTGACGCAAGCTGCTGCCACGCCATTGTCTTGTTACGGGCACCGTCGCTGCCAGCCTGGTACCAGGCAAGCAGCGCTGGTCAGCAATGTGCCAGCGCATTTCCCGATGAAACCGCAAGCCACCCTCATCGTGCCATCACGACGAGGGTTTCGTATTGAATCTGCAACCCCAAGCCGCTCTTCTTCGAGCCGCCATGGTCTACAATCAGCCCACAGAACCTCAGACCACCACGTCTCAGAGAACCACTCCCTGCAGCCATGAGTGCTCTCTCTGGTGTCCTCGTCCTTCCCTCGTCCTAGTGCTTCATTCTTGGCTGGCTCTCCCACCTAGTTCCTGCTCATATCGTGGCCTTAGAGTAGGTTAATGCTAACCCTCCTAAAGATGCCGCACCATCGACGGTTACGGGGCTAGACCTGCTTCGGTTCCGACTAGTCATCAAGAGGCTAGTCCTAGTACGAGTAACAAGCATGAGTTGAGTTCTCCACCCTCGGCTCGCTCTCTCGCCGCTAGTCCGCCTCCCGCCGCTAGTCCGCAGCGCGTGCACAATCGCGTAGCCTGTCTCCTGCCCCCTGCTCGCCCGTGCTTAGTCCTCCCCCTACATTGGCTCCTCTGAGCCCACTGCCTCCGTTGGACACGGAGCCATGCATCATCTTTGGTGCTGAAGGCTCCGAGCTCGACTCTGCTACTAGGCCTTCCTGTCCTTCATCACCTACAAGGCAAACCGTTATGTCGTCCTTTCGCCATGCGTCTTTGGAGGGCCCGTCTTGCCTGCCCGCAAGCCAGACAAGGCGAAGTACATCCAGCGCAAACTCAGCTTCGGTCGGCATGCCGGCGCCTCCACTGCGGTTAATCCTATTCAGCTCGGCAGCAGCAGCGGCGATCCTGGTCCCAGCTCCCCGCCGTCCGACGACGGGCCATTCTTCCTGACAGTGGAGGAGCTCCAAATCAAAGCGAGGGAGCAGTGGTTACGCCACTTTCCATGGTTGGTGATTTCCGAGACGAAGGAGGGTTGCCCCTGCATGAAGTGCAGCGTCTGCATGGCGTTTGGCAACGACCCCGACTATCAGTATGGCCGCAACGGTGAGGGCGGCATCGACATTCAGAAGCAAACAATGCGTAAGCATCATCACAGTCTGAAGCATGAGGCTGCCGTGACAAAGAAACTGCAACGCGACGGGAAGATGAAGAAGCAGAAGTCGATCGTCGACTTCGAGAACGGTGACAATGAGGCTCGACGACTCAAGCGGCTCATGGCCATTGTGCTTTTTGTTTGCAAGTCGGATGCACCTATCCTTCTGTTCGTTTCCCTTGTCCAGTTCATGGCAGAACAGGGGACACCTGATCTGCCCTTGAAGGAACGAGGAACCTACCAGAGCGAGTAAGTGTCCCACGTTTTTAAGGCGAAGCCCTCCTCATCCGAGTTCCTCATTTGCCGGTTATGATATTTGTTTGAACTTACTGTCTATATTTGTGTTACTCCTCCCCTATGGCCTCCGGTGTTACCCAAATGGCAGGTATGGCTTCATCTAGCTCGTCGAGAACCTGGTGGCTTACCTGCGGGCGAAGCAGATGGTCCACATCAAGGCGAGCCCCTTTCTCGGGATCCAGCTCGACGAAAGTACGAACTGGCGCCGAGGGAAGTGCATGATCGTTTACCTTACCTTCCTGCGTGGTACGGAGGTCGCCACAGAGTTCTTTGCGCACCTGACGGTGGAGAAGTGCGACGCCGCCTCCCTGCAAGCCGTGCTTCTGACTCACCTGGAGTCATGTGGGGTCGACCTCAATAAGATCTGCGGAATCAGCACCGACGGCGCCAGCGTGATGACGGGAGCGCAGTTGGGCCTTGTCGCCCGTCTTCGCACTCGGATTCCGTATCTAGTATCATGCCACTGCATCGCTCATAGGTAGCCATTCGCACTCCACCCGTCTTTTATCATGCTGTTTCTCCGCTCTTTGCTAATCATTCCTCCGTGGCCATGCATGCAGGGAGGCCCTAGCCGCTAAGGATGCGACAGAGGACTTTCCCGACCTAGCTGTGGTCGACAAGGTGGTCCGCTCCTTGGCGGATATCCTCGGCCGTTCGATCGTCACCCACAACCGCTTCAAGCAGCTACAGGAGGTGGTGACCGAGACCAACCTCGAGATGCAGGGGATCCATCAGATCCGCTGGCTTTCTCGGGGTGAGGCCATTTAGCGGCTGGTCGAGGTCTTCCCAGCTGCTATCCTCTTGATGTGGGAGTATGATAGTCAGATGTATGCTGTTGTCATTAGCCTGAAGTTCCACTTCCTTCTGTACTTCCTGGCTGACGTCCTCGCGGAGCTAAACACGTTGAATCTGAAGTTCCAGTGTCGACAGGTGCGTCCTTCTTAGCATGATTTCTGTTTACATGCCTGAATACTTTATAATGTTTGCACCCCTCCCCCAGGTCGACGTGACGCAAGTTCTTAGGATGGTGGACAACACCATCCTCATCCTGCGCAGCCGGTACGTCACCTACGACTCGCAGTTCGGCCCGACCTCGGGCGACTTCTTCGAGTTTCTGCAACTTCACGATGGCGGCAAGGACGTTACTATCTCGGGCACAGATGCAAACGGCACTTCTCTCATCCACACGTACCAGCTTCATGAGCGACCGATCGAAGGCCAACAAAGCGGAGGGGACATGGAGTCACTCCAGAAGCTGGCAAGTGCTATAGTGCTGGCGATGATCGGCCATCTGCGCGGCCGATTCCACGACTTGTCCTCCCTCAACGGCACTCGCCTCTACAAGCAGAGTTTGTATCCTCGAACCGCGTCAAGGCGCGAGCGTAACCTGTGGAAGCGCGACCCCACAGCCCCTGACACCATGCCCGGTAAGGCCGCTCCCTCGTCATCGCGTCTATAAGTGGCTGCTCTCTCGCGTGTATAACCATGCTTTCCATTGTTGCCCATTTCTGACTTCTGTTTACCCACCCTTTCGCCGACCCCTCCCCCACCCTCAGGCGTCCATTGGGGCAAGGCCAGGAAGGAACTCACCAGCTTCACCACGATCATGTCAACGCACCATGACGGCCTCGACTTCCACGCTGCCCTAAAGCACATGCTCTCAAGCGACGACTGGAAGATGGCCTACCCCAACATTGTCCTTGTGTGGATTGCTGTCGCCGTGCTGCCTCTGAGTACGGTGGAGTGCGAGCGCGGCTTCAGCCGACAGAATGTTATTAAGAGCTGGCTTCACGAGAACCTCTGCGACGCGCGCCTGAGCGACCTGATGACCATCTCGCTGCTGGAGTACGAGATGGAGTGGGATGAACTAGTGACCATGTGGCGCGGGGGAGTTAAGAAGCGTCGCCCTGCCAAAGAAGTTGTGATGGCACAGGGCTCGAGGCCGACGAAGAAGCCGAAGATGTCCGATGCAGTAAAAGCGGCAAAGGCAGCAGCAGCAGCAGCTCGAGAGGCAGAGGCATTGGCTGCTGCAGAAGCAGCACATGTGTTTGAAGAGGATGCTGCAGCTGGCCCTGTGCGGAGGAGGAAGGGCAAGGGGAAGATGATTGCCATTGAATCTGACTCTGAGGAAGAGGAGGCCCCCGTGGATAGTGACACCGACTCTGACTAAAGGCATCACCATGAGTAGCAAGCAGCCTCAGCAGCAGTAGCAAGCAGCTTCAGCAGCAGTAGCAGGCAGCCTCAGCAGCAGTAGCAGGCAGCCTTAGCAGCAGTAGCAGGCAGCACTAGCAGCAGCAGTAGCGGCATTAGCAGGAGTAGCAGCAAAAGCAGTGCTCTTAGGAGTAGTTTGTGAGCTTAGTTGAGCTCACCTCTGCAATAGGCTGTTTATTATTCCTGATATGGTAGTACCTGATGATTATTCTTTGTATGGTAGGAGCTGCAGTAGTTTGACTTTTGACGTAATGTTCTATGTTGGTAGTATTGATGAACATGTGATACAATCAGGATGCAAAAACGTCTGAATTCTCAGACATGTGCTTGCATTTCGTCTGAATCGTAAGACAAGCAAAAAAAATCCGTCTGACGGTCAGACGAAGCTCTAAGAACCCGTCTGATGTTCAGACTGCCCTAAAAACTAGCAGGAGCCCTGACCATAGGTACTATGTTTTGCCTGTACATATGAAGTACAATTCTTTGTATATACTTTGCTTCACATATTGCTTTTGCTCGCACTGTGCTCCTATCCCATCGAGTGGGTACCCAGATCTACAATGCTGTCGGAAGGGGCATGCATCTCGTACTGGTACCCGTATATCCTTTCCATAGGAAATAGCTCAAATGGGGTAAATGTTCAAGTAGTGTAACATATAATGTCCGTGACCATGTCGAATCCTCTTCATCCTCCTTTGGACGAAGACGTTATTATCGAGAATCTGCACTGACCCTTGCACGAGCCCAAGTCCAGCACTGGCGCGACAATCCCCATGTTCTTCTGTCTGCTCATCACGTGTTATCATTGCATCATCTCTCCACGTCATTCCTGGGCTTCCATGGTGCGTCAGAGGAACTCCCATCCAAGCCTCCATTATTGGTTGAATCTGCGCCGTGCGTTTCTACCTTCAGCGAATCCACGCCCGTTTCGTTCCTCAACCCAACGCTAGCGGCGGTCACGCCGTCATTCTCGAGGGTGGACGGCGGAGAGTTATAGAAATCTCGAGGGCGAACGGCGGAGCGTGTTGAGGCGCGTTGCGACATGTCGTCATTCTCGAGGCTCCACGACAAAGTGGTTTCGCAGCAGCAGAAACAGCAGTGCGTGCCGTTCGTCTCTCGTGGCTGGCTTCTCGCCGCTTCACGTGTGCTAGAGTCTAGCTGCAGACATGCCCTCTTC